AACCTAATATAGAAGTTAATAGACTAGAAGAATATATCGTGGAAGCTATCCTCGATATAAGTAAGATTAATAGCAAAATAATATATTTTATTAAATAGAAGAATTACCTAGATTTAGAAAATATATAGGAACCCTTAGAATACCTTACTAGCGTATAATGCCTTCTAAAGAACTTTTATTAATACCGCTAGAGCTAGGCAAGGGGTTAAAGTTAAAATCACTTAGGCTAAGAGAAGCCTAGTTAAACCCTTTAGGGTTTAGAGATTATAGCTCCTCTTAGATAGATTCTTTGCGATGACTTAGCTCCTCTACTAGATAATCTTTACCCTTAAGACCTTAGATCCCCCGCCGGAACTTAATAGCCCAATACTCCTTAACTAAGTTCTTAGTTTTCTATAACCGCGATAGGCAACCTACGGCTAATACTATCTTTGCTTATAACTCTACTAATTCCTCGTGAAGTTATAATAAGTTAGTACTAGCCTTTTCCTTATCTTCCTTTAGTTTTTTCTCTTGCGAGATTAAGTAATATACTATCCCATATATTAGTAAGAAGGGCTACCCTAAAGGAAGGAATCTAAGACTTATGAGAATTCGTGACCCGCGTTCCGTTATAAGAATAACCCCGCCGTATGCATTTACTATACCGTGAGGAACCCTCTATTATTAAATACTCCTTCCGGTGCTTAAAATAATACGAATATAGCATATCTATAAACTCACGAGATAATTCGATACTTACGGCTAAAAATTAATATTCTTTGGATTTTTGATTCGGATATTTAGAAATGCGGCTAGATATTTTATTAGCGCGATATCCCGAAATGATTATAGGTTTAAGTTACACCTATAGGCAGGGGAATAGGAAATAGCTATTTAAATGGCCTTATGGATAAGGCCTTAGAAGGGGAGATATCATGTCATAACCTAATATGCACCTAACCTCTGTAATATATGTGATTGCCTTATACCCGGGTATTAGCACTAATTAGAGAAGGATTATTACTGAAGTTAGATTATTATGATCTTAGGATTACTATGATCTAAGGATTATAATAATCCTAAGATAACCGTGATCCCTTTATAGCTAGCTTAGTATATAGTATATACCTATGTATACTTTCCTATGTAGTAGCTACCTTAGCTATTAATATAACTTAGTTATACTTAATACCTTTGAGTATATTACTAGACGTAATATTATACTAACCTTTAAGGCTACGCAATATAATCTAGTGCTAATATAAACTAGTACAACCGGTTTATCCCTTAGGAAATATCCTCTCGTTATACTATAAATAAAAGCACGAAGACTATACTAATATATATAAATTTCGGATTTATACTAGATGCTTACTAATAAGCACGAGATATTACTATTAACCCCAAAGTAATCCTTATTAGCGATTAACTATGTAATCTATATAAAGAAATATAAATAGAACTTAAATTCATTAAGAATAGAATAATAAATTATGCTAATAAAAAAAGGATTAAGGGATTAACCTTCTCGGAGGGAGATATAGTCTACCTCGTAATGAAAAATATTAAAATAAAATAATAAAATAAAAAACTTAATTATAAATATATTAGATTATATAAAATTAAATAAAAAATCTTAAAATATAACTACGAATTAGACTTATTACCTAAGGTTAAGCTCTATCTAATTTTTTATATTTTATTACTTAAATCGGCATAAGATATTATCTAAGTAAAAATAAACGATAAACCTAATATAGAAGTTAATAGACTAGAAGAATATATTATAGAAGCTATCCTTAATATAAATAAAATTAATAGTAAAATAATATATTTTATTAAATAAAAAGACTATCCTGACTTAGAAAATATATAGGAACCCCCGGAATACCTTATTAGCGCATAATACCTACTATGGGATTTTTACTAATAACTCTAGAAGGAAGGGAACTAATATTAAAATCGAGGATAGCCGACTAATTAATAATATTAATAGCCCTAAAGGACTAAGTATTAATAATAGCCTTAGCCTCCCGGCGATCTAACTCCTTTAACTCGTCTAAAGAATTTAAACCCCGATATACTATCTCTATACCCCGCTCGTAGATCTATTTCTTCTAATGACGAAGGCATATTAGGCGGGATAATCGCTTATTTATTTACTACTAAAGAGTAATTAATTCCTTTTCTGCTTTCTCCTCCTTAAATTCTAGATAATACTTCTCTATTATTAGGCGCGACGCTATGAACTATTAGTAAGAAAAGGCAATAAAACGCAGAAAATATATTTATTAGCGGAAACTAATATACCCGAGCTATTATAAGCGCGACTATGATAGATATACTTAGAATAATAAGAAATACCCTTAAGTATCTTATATTTTAGATACTTTTAAGAATAATAGGAATAAGGCATAACTTTAAAGCTTATTTCTTTAATAAGCTTAAAAAGATAATAATAGCGCATAGTAGAATGGGATTTTACTTTTGATATACTATTAGTATCACGGAAATAATTATAAGGGAAGGTTTAATAAACTAAGGGAAATTTAGGATAGCTAACTTTAAAGGCCTTAAGGATAAGACTAACAGAGGGGAGATATTATATCACGGCCTAATATATACCTATTATATGCATAGGCAGACCCCTATAATTCCTTACTAATTAAATAAATAATTACCTCTAATACTAAGTAATTATGGTAATTATCTTATTAATTACCCTAATTACCTATATAATTACCTTAATTAAGACCGATAGGTAGAGTAATTATAACTAATACCCTAAGTATATAGAATATATTTATTATACTTTCTTATATAGTAGCTACCTTAGCTATTAATATAACTTAGTTATACTTAATACCCTTGAGTATATTACTAGACGTGATATTATACTACCCTTTAAGGTTATGTAATATTCTCCTCTACTAATATAAACCAATACGACCGGTTTATCCCTTAGGAAAGACCCTTTCGTCATAGGCACCTCCAGAGGCAACTAGACCTAGCCGGGCTAGAAGACCTTTGGGAAGAGGCTGATACCCTTATAAGAGAGGCTATTATAGCCCTAGTGGCTAGAAGCCCTAGTGAGTGCCCTAAGGAGCCTAATTCAAGCCTTATAGCCCTTCTAGTTAGAGAGGGAGGCCTAGGAATACCCTTACATAAGGACCTAGCCCACGAGCTATTCCTAGCAGCTAGGGAGGCCTCGCAGCCTACCCTAGACCTCATCCGGAAGCCCCTGGCCCCGCAGCCTACCCTAGACCAAAGCCAGCCTAACCAAAGCCAGCCTAACCAAGGCCAGCCTAGGCTAGGGAAAACAGCCCAACAGGTGCTAAAGGAAGCTAATAAGGCTAGGCTAGCAGGCTTCTTAGAGGACCTCCCCGCTAGCTATAGGCACGCTAGGCTAGAAAACGCTAGCTATCTCGGCCGTAAGTGGCTAGGAGTCTTGCCTACCCAAAAAGCCCTATCTTTTATAGACTCTAAAATCACTAAAGCCCTCCGAAGCCGGCTTTTCTACCCAATTAAGCCTATTAGCCTACCCTATAGCTCTTGCGGAGCTATAGCTGCCTTAGGCCATCAGGATACCTGCAAGGGTGCTAATAGAAGGTGGATTGCAAGGCATGAGGCTATAACTAGGGCCTTTATAAGAGCCCTAAGTAGCCAGCCTACCCTAGAGGTCGAAAAAGAACCCCTAGTCCACCCAGAAGCTAGCCTAAGGGCTAATTTTGCAGTTAACCTAGGAAATAGCCGCTATTACTATGATATTCAAATCGTAGCTATTTCAAAGGATTCTACTAAAGAAGACCCTTATAGCACCCTTAGAGAGGCTGCCAAAGAAAAACGCAGAAAATATAGGTCCCTAGGGGCCTTTTTCCAGCCTCTTATCATCTCAGCAGGCGGCCTTATAGACCTAGAGACAGCTAAGACCTATTAGAAGCTCTAGGACCTTATTGGCCCCCTTGCGGCTAACTAGCTAGACTCCTCTATTAGCCTTGCCCTAATGAGGACTAGGGCGACCTCGGCGGCTTCTATAGCCCGAGATACCCCTAATAACCTAGCTAGGTCGATCTAGAATACTTCTAGGGCTTCTTAAGGCTTTTCTTTATCCTTTACCTTTTACCTCTTATCTCTTATCTCTTTGCCTTTTTCTTACTAGCTATACCTCTCTCTTTTAGTTATTTCTCTTTTTCCTAGCTATATCTCTCCCCTAGCTTTATCTCTTTCTTAGCTATACCTCTTTCCTAGTTATATCTCTTATGCTTTTTCTTTTATTATTTCTTAGAAAAATCTCCCCTCTTTTATCTATAAGCTATATCTTAGCTAGAAGAAACCCCTAGGGCAAAATAGCTTAGATAGTTAATAGTTACTCTGTTCTAACCCTAACCCTGGGGTATGGTGGTGTCACGTATTGCCGAGGCAGACGCGCCCGGAGCTATCAGTAACCTGGGCAATGTTGATTCCCGAAAAGCTCAGCCCAACTGCCAAGCTTCCGCCGCTCCCCGCGAAATTGTCTGACGACTCTCCCCCGGTGACATCCCTACCACGAGGCTGATAGCAGTTACTCTATGAACCTCGGCACGAGAATGAGTTGGCTAAATGTTTGTCCTTCGATAGGCGGTTTGCTATGACCCTGGCAGATTCCGACTGAACCTCGTGTTTGGAAATGAGGTCAAGGAAACAGGGCTTTGCTAGTATCTTGCAGAGATTCGAGAGACTGGCAAGGTAACATGCTATCATGTGGATCACTCGGCGACCCCGAAAGAGCGCTTTCCGTCTTGGAGACCTTTACTTTCCTATTCGGGGACCGAGAGAGGTCTTTTGTGAAAGATAATAACGCTTGGGCTTTACGATCAGATGCCGTGCCCTCTCAGGCAAGACCAGCATGCATATAACTATCCCCCAAGTCCAGCACCCGTCGTCGCAGAATACCATGATCCTCAATCCGCCACGCCTCATCACATTGTTCAATTGCTAGTTAATCTTTTTCAAGTTGCCCTCAATCGGAAATCACTAAGATGAAGTTCCTCCCCTTCGTTGCTCTGCTGGCGGGCCTTTCCAGGGCCCTTCCACTCGATGCCGCGGCCAATGATGGCAGTCTTACCACTCGAGCTCTCTTCTCGAGTGATGAGCTGCTCGACGGGGACGCGGGTTCTTGTCCCAGCGCAATCTTGGTGTATGCTCGTGGCTCCCTGGAGTTCGGAAACCTGGTAAGACTACCCATGAGACTACCCGTTATAAGTGTGTTGAAACCTACTGACATATCCTAGGGCTTCTTAGGGGGCCTTGTCGGTGATGGTATCAAAACTGTGCTTGGCGAAGACCAAGTCTGGACCCAAGGAGTTGGGGGAGACTACTCTGCCGCCATTGGCGACAATGGACTGCCCGATGGAACTAGCCCAGAGGCTATTCAGGAGATGATCGGTCTCTTCGAGCTTGCTGATAAAAAATGCCCTAATGCTACGCTTGTTTCTGGAGGCTGGAGGTTAGTACAGAAGTCCTTTGACACATTTGGACGGGAGCCATACTGATATGGTGATTATAGTCAAGGTGCGGCCCTGGTCGCCGCGTCCATCCGTGACCTGAACCCAACTATCCGTGGCAAGATTGCTGGCGTGATTCTCTTCGGCTACACCAAGAATAAACAGAACAACGGTCGCATTCCTAACTATCCCGCCGACCGCCTTCGAGTGTTCTGTAACGATGGCGATGCAGTTTGCGAGGGTGAACTTAGTATTACGATTCCTCATCTGTTTTACCTGAGTGAGGCGCGTCGCGAAGCTCCTGAGTTCCTCATTGAGCAAATTAACAAGTACCAAGCTTGATACACCAGGGGAAGAAGATTTGCGGGTTTGGATGGAAGCTACGTGCGTCCTCGACTGGGAGTCTGGGTTCGGAGCAGGCTCAATGGAAAATTGCCTTAGTGGGGTCAGAGAGGGACGTTACAAGGAGAATGTCAATATTGTGCTAGTATATTGGTAGATAACATCCACGAATATAGCCCGGTTTCATCTTATCCTCGTCTTACACACATGCTTGGTCCATTTTGTTCCTGGCTGAATAAGCTTAGTGGCCTAGCACATCTCCAAGCTCGGTTTCGGCCAGCTGATGCCGGTATGGTCCGTAATCAAACATCTACGTCAAGAGAAGCAGATCATTGTGCCCCGTCGATATGCCTTGAGAGGACTTTCCTGGCCATTGAAGAAGAAAACAGAGGCCCCAGTAGACAGCGAGAGAGACATTCTATACCTCGTAATATGGCTTGCTAGCTAAGCAGTCGGGCTCGCGTAAATTACCTTGTGAGTTTTGCGGTCACAGCCTGATGTATGGAGGTGGGAAGTAGTGAAAGAAGAACCACCCTATTCTATAGATTAGGCTAATAGTGGGGTGGATATGTGTCAAGACTCTCTGGGCTTCTTTTCCGAGATACCGAAGGTGAACCTTGATGGCGTCGATGACAGGCCAATCGCTCTCCGGCCACTTAATGCGCGTCACAAACGTCTCTCGTCCCATGTGGTATCGTCCTTCTTGTTTTCGAATGCCTACGTAAGTCATCCACTATTAGCTCTGGCTATCTTTGAAGAAATCACTATGCCCTGTGTGCTGGCTAGAGCTATTATTTGAGCTGAGGGGAGACAAAATTACTTGATTTACGAAACAACTTGATGAAGGATACTGAAATTAATAGGTTGGACCTCCCTTGCGAATACGAATCCTATTGTAGAGCTACGAAGTCATTGAGCTGAAATCAGCCACTGAGTTCGAATTCATCTTCGTCGGACAAACGGATGTGTTTGTGACACTGCGTACTAATGAGAACAGAAGAACATTCGCAACGCTTTGATGCCGTTTCCGACACGGAGCATTTTCCTTCCTTGGTAAACCCTTGCAGTCAGTTGTGACATTGTCACTCATTGCTCAATTGTCAGGTGAGGAGGCTAAGGGGTTCCACACCAACCGGCGTGATGCCAGGGGCTGTGAGAACTAGGACCGGGGGTGCCTGTGATGCAGCTCTCCACTCGATTCGGCTTAAATTGACAGGGCTTTATTAACGTTGTTCAAGTGGGTTGTGGGGTTCTCAAGCAGCTCCAAATTGGAGCCAGCGTTGTTAGAACAATTTAGCCCGTCAAGTCGCAAGGGTCAAAGCGGGGCCCTTGACCGCAACCTTCAATGTAGCTATTTTCTAGTACTTCGTAAAGTTCCCATGGCGTCAATGACAGCCTGGCAAGCGCGAAGGCATACAGAGTACAGTAGCCGTAGATGCGGGGCCTTGCCCAAGAGGCCAGAAAAGCAGCCCCAATCTAGTCATTCTGCCGCGAACGCTAAAGCGTAACCCAAAAACAGGATGATCGGCGGAGACCAATGCGGCTTCGACCCAATGCGACGCGACATGGAGGTCAATGGACACGGGCAGAAAAGTGCGGGGTGTGGTAGGTGAGATTCGCCAACGCCGCAAGGATGGTGCCAGCGTTGGGTGAGTTCGACTGTAACCGACCTGAGCAATAAGCGTAATGATGATCTTGTTCCTTGATCACGGACAGAGGGAAGAACTGGAAGAAGTTAGAGGCACATGTATGCGGAATGCTGGGAAGTAGGACTCGACAAGGTACAGACAGCCGGTAGTCTTCTTGTAGGAAGGCTGAGGTGACTCATGGTGGAGCGGGACAATTCGATCGAGCAGATAATCTCTCTGGCGTGAAAGACAATGTAATGATCTCCCCAGGCTTAGAGTCTGTGATATCTCTTCAGGGCGTGAACTTCAGGGCGCGTGCGCGCGATTTTTCGAGCAGTACGGGTGTATTCATGTGAAATCGAATCTCATCCAAAGGTACAGTTCCACCTCATCGACGCAGCATCTCAATTATACAGCCCTTACTGACACACCATCGGCAACAGTCCCTCCCTAATCGAAAGCAGGGGACTTAGGGCAATTGCAACTGCGTATTCGTTATCTATAAGCAAGACCAGGGGAGACAAGGTGGTCGATGAAGCCGAAACTGCCATCCCTCAGCTCTTGCAAAACCCCGGTTCCAGTTGACTGCAGCGTTCGGTGCCCACGGGATCCTCCTGTCTTGCCTTTTGGACGACACGAAACACCGCGCGAGAAAAGAAGCGTGTGATTAAAGGCAAAAACAAACTTCAAGTACCTCCGTACGTTCACAAAGGTCTGTGGATAACGATGTGCAGATCGGTTCCGTGTAGGCACTAGGGTAAGTATCTAAGCCCTTTCTAGACAATTGACCGAGATCAGTCGGCCTCCGCAATACCTCAGGCCCGCAAACCCCATGGATGGGCTGCGGGTTCTCGCCAACTCTTCGGTGGTTGAAGAACCCCTTCTAGCACGAAGACAACTTCCATAGAACCTACAAGAACAGCATTCAGACTCTGGATACTTCATAGTTCACTCTATGATGACTCCAGCCGAGTTGTACGAAGAGTCGACACAAGACGCAAAAGACAAAACAAACGCAAGGCTTGTGTATAAAGTAAAATGTGCTATATATAATAACCCTGCAAGAATGTATGAAGACTAAACGAAGAGTAGACATAATCAGGAATTATGTCGGAAACGAAGAGTAACCAAGCAGGTACAGATCTTGCCAAATTCTTTACCCACATCTTCAAGCCAACTCTTCCATCAAACTAGATACGGCAGCCCTTCGCTCGGACCAATTTAGTTCTAGTAGGCAATCTTTCGCCCTCAAAATCATCCCGCGATAGTCCAGCACTGACTCTTGTAAATAGGCTGGTTGACATCAAACAGAGTCTTTCTGTAAAAGGGGGAAATAAACGCATCAATATCCATATCAAAGGTGCTAGCAAACCAAGCACCGTTGTTGCACTCTCCCGCAGCGGGTGGGTTAAACTTGATTCCAGAAGCGCTATCAAACGCAACGTCCCCATTAACTGAAAATGCGTTGATGATCTTGGGTTGAATATCAAAGCCCGCCGAAATGTCGAGAATACCGTTGAAAGCCTTGATTCCCACGGCAAGGGTTAGCTCAATGAATGGGTTGAGCTGAAGGGCAGCGAGGGCATCGACGTCAGAAGCAACCTTGACACTCGGGGTCCAGCCACTGGTAGCCGTCTTGGTTGAGTCGAGCAGATCGAGATGGACTTTGCCGTTCTCGATGCCACCAGCTACGCCCAAGGTTGCGTTGAGAGTGCCTCCTGCGCCGAACTCGATGCCGAGAGCAAACCCGGCGATTGGGCCAACTTCAATGATTCCTGGGATAGAGAAGGCTGAGACGGAGACAGCTAGGGGATTGTAGTTTAGCAGATCGGTGGAGAATTCCCCTGCCACAGATGCCGAGAGGTTGAGATTAACGAGGGCCGAATAGTCGATATCGAGCTCAACCGCCTTGGCCTTCCTTGCCAGGATATCGAGATCCAAACGACCCTTAAGGCGAATTGTGCTCTCGAAGAGGGCCTGCTCGGCGACCAGGGTGAGGTAGTCAGTGTCAACCAAGGTGCCAGCGAGGTCAGCTGATATTGTTGCCGAAATGTCACGCTTGGAGGGAACCAAGCCAGTTTGAAAGTTGATAGTGGAACTCTTGGATTGTTCCTCGAGGGAAGATGCCTTGACTTCCAAATGAATCGTCAAAGCCTCTGCATCTAGGTCTTCGCTGCTGACGGTATAGAAACCGCGCTCGTCGGGTCCGTTGCATGCTCCGTCTGGCGAGTAGGTGACAATGACAAAGTCTGACTTTGGCCAAGTTGTTGAGGCAGCCTCAAAAATCGCGCTGTCAGTGAAGGTCAAGGCTATCTCGGAGCCGGAGCACTTGACGGAGCCGAGACCTGACAAGTCCTCGAGAACAACGGCGGGTCGCGTCAAGGTGACGTCGATGGATGCCGTCATGTCCTCGGCGCCGTAACCAAGGGAGATGGCATGGCTGAGAGCGGCCTTGTCATCTTTCAGGCTCTGGAGACGAGCAGGGGCAAGCGAAAAATGGGGCAACGGCTTTAAGATTGCTGGGGGTTTCGACGCAAGCTCCCGCCGGGCAGCTGAGCCGAAGAGGTTATTCCCGTCGGCGTCTGGCACGGCAGCTGCATAAACTAGCCGAGTCAAGGTGTGAACACCGAGGAGAGCGGTACTGATGAGCTTCATTGTGGGAGAGAATACAGAAAAGACGGCGTGGTATATTTGATGCCCTCTGTAGGCTGCTGGGTGTAACTACTAGCCGTCTACACATATTAGAGCGTCCATGGGCTACCTTTTATACTTCATCTTCCCAGTTTGGCTTCAGTTCCGACGCTTTGCAAGTCGCTGCGGGTCCATGTCAATACGAGCGAGATATTGCGAACAGAGGTTAATCACCCGATGTGGGCTTGCCAGAATGTTAGGTTCATCATTCATGTAAACATGGGGATAGAGGCGGATATGCAGAAAGGATCAATCAGGAAGGTAGCTATTCTGGAAGTGCGAAGCTACTTTAGAGTCACCACTTGAACGATTTCAAGATCAGCATGACTTAGACCTCTGTCGGGCCGAGTGGAAGAATGCATGTCGGTTCGAGCGCAGCCAAGCTTCGGAAGCACTCCAGTGCCATTGTCAGGGTGCATCGTCCCGTAGTTTGTCGAGAAGAGGTTTTACTCTTTACTACACAAACTTGCAGCTTTATAATAGAATTTTTAATTGCACGCACGGAAGAAGCATCGGAATCAGGCGCCAAAACAATTGATTATCTCCCCTTTGAAGAAACCACGTGTACGGTTTCTGTAGATGCCAAGACTTGGTCCTTGAAAGTCGCCAATACCAGAACAAATAACAAGCTCAGCTTCTAACCCCGAAGTTACTACCTTGGGGAGTAGGGCCGATGGAACCTTTGCCATTTAAGTCGCTGCTATTGAGAACTTTTGTCAAATCGTCCCATCTAGCATACCGAACGCTACGTTGAGGCTAGCCGGGGCTGAAAACGCTTCGGTCGGAAATGCCGACGGTGATGCCGCTTTGATCACAGAACCCTGGTAAGTGGTAAAAGTGTCAAAGCACGAGCTGCTACGTCCAAAGTCGAGAGGATCGGAGCATTTCCAAGTGTTGTGAGTGATTGCGTTTCGCCAGCTCGCCAAGATGACCGAGAAATCGTTGAAGAGAGCGTTGATTGTCAGTGGTCTGCTGTCGACCCAGGTCTCCGAGTCCTGTCTTGTCGGCTTAGAGTCAGCTTGAGGGCAAGAATTGGGGACAGCGTCTCTGAGAAAAGAATACCTGGATAAGAGGCCCATGACGAGACGGGATGTTGGCTCCTTCGCCAACGTCTGAGGAACTGAAGATCTCCCAAAAGATGCAGAACCAATTGTAGAGCAGGTCACTATCCAGTAAGTTGTCGGCGGGTTTGGAGTGACTGGTATCTGAAGTTCCAGATTCGTCCAGGGGTGGATTGTTGGATCGTCCGGCACCACCGGGACGGGGATGCTACTCTCCGCATCGAGGATAGCGCGGGCGCAATCCAGCATCTCAAGGGAAAGGAAATATCCGTACAGTTGCGTGTTGAAGATTGTGGGATTTCCTCCTCTGTTTGTAGCCGTTTCATTTTGACTCTTCAAGAGAACGACGAAAGTCGAGTCGGTCCGACAGGAGAAGGGCACCGGGAAGTAAGCTGCAGATGGCATAGTTAAAGTGAGGCTTCATTCTTCAAGCTGGACGCTTCCCGTCCAGGGTCTTATTCGAAGGCGAGGCGATCATCATTGGGTGCCATTGTCGCCCGGATCGCCCAGCTAAGATAATATCCATGTCTAATCCTGGAAGGACATCAGGGTATCTCCATCGTTCGGCTCCGACGCCTACGGTAAGGCACTCATATTAACCGGGTTTTGACAGGTGATTGTGGGGGGTGTCGATTGCTCAACAGACGTCTACCCCTATTTAGTAGGCTAGGTCAAAGTAGATGACATTCACGTACGAGTCTGACGTCAGCTGGCCCCATTATCAAGATGGAGCCGCGGCATCTCCAGAGCCTTTTCCAATCTCAGGATAGTTTGTCTTGTTTCTCGTGTTTGGGGTCCACCATTTCTTTCCCAGTTGAAACTGGGTATGAAGCTCCAGGAGATTAAGTATAATTGGAAAAGTGATTAAGGATAGAGAGGCTTGTCAAGTCTGTGACCAAAGAGTCTATTCACTCTTCACAACTCCCTCTTGATAACGATATACTATCCACAAGCTTCCTTTCCTTGAGCAATACTCTACTATTATTCTAATCCCTCAATATCTCACCATGGGCTCCGTTTTCCCCAGCGCTTTGCGTCCTCCGATCTTCATAAACTCGACGATCGAACGCGTTTCCCGTGAAAAATATGCGCAAGTTGAGACTGTCGACCTCGGAAACCCGCAAACGTTGAGTGGAAGCCAGTGGGTCTATCCATCATGGCAACATCACGTGAACTTCGACTCAGTTCATCCAACATACCCATCTTCAGGGGAACAAAGGTTTCCCGTAAGAAAGGTGAGTTCGACCAGCAATCACCTTTCAAACTGATACGCCCTACCCAGCTGCGTAATGGAAGCCACAGCGCAGTGTCGCAGTCTCGCCGTAAACGTCTCGCTCTCTGCTAACGCACATTGAAGGTCAACTATGCACCAAGTAGTCAAGCTGAGACTTTCTCCTCGTACCCTATTAGAAACAGTAACGTTTCCATGTTTCTCTTTTCCAACTAGTGCGCTAACAACAGATGGCTGCAGGCAATTTAGCTTTACAAACGCCGATCGATGAAGCCCGGGAACTCTTGGTTTCCTCTACCACGACGCCTCGCCCCAGAGTTCCCGCCCAGCGGCGCAGGGAAAGAAACCACGTGTGTCGGGTCTGTCAGAGACGATTTTCACGGCCGAGTTCGTTGCATACTCATATGCATAGCCACACGGGGACGAAACGTGCGTTATCTTATCATCCGTGGTTTATTGAAAAGCATGCTAAGTTATTGATAGCATTTCGGTGCCAGTTCTCTGGATGCGGGCGCGCTTTTTCAGTCTTGTCAAATCTGCGTCGACATTCAAAAATTCATCAGAAGAAGAATGACGAAGGACACGAACCAAAATGACTTTTATGGATTTTAATACTAGTTTGCAATAGTCTCCTAACACTCAGCCATCCGTGGGCTACGGAGCGGGTTATGTCTGTGAATTTTTGTACAACTTCGATAGGATGGAAGAAAGCAGAATCTTTCCATGCTTCATGGCCTCGACTTTTTAATTTAGTTACGATTGAATGCTGATTTAGATCGGTTTTCCACCAGATTTATTGCCCGGACCGTCGACTTACTCAATTTTGAGGTCGTAAGATAGCGTCTATCTTTTCTCTTATACCTAGTCATCCCAGGTATGGCATACTGTAACTGCTGGCATGATTTATCTCGTGGAGTTGGGGGGAATGGGCTCGAAACTAACGTGGTTGATAAGACCCGGATCTTGTTCTCTAGTCCATAGATTAGCCGATAAGAAATGGCCGAGATGTAGTTCTGGCGGATTAGGTTCCCGTTTGTTGATTCTCTGGCTTGGATTCTTGAAGGCTTTTTGATAGGGATTGGTGGTTGCTTAGGTTTGGTAAGGGATGAATAAGGAGTGGAAGCCCGTAATGGTAAGTGTAGAAGCTGGTGGGATGGGTACTGTCGAGTGGATAGGTAGGTTGTTGATGTTGATAGTATAAATAAGAGTGGTTGACCCTCGATCACCGATACTAAGAAGGCGCACTTGGCTCTTGATGAGCTGCAAGGGATGGATAAGTGAGCGAATCTGTAGCCGTGGTAATGTGGGCTAATGGTTAGGGTGTTTTAATAGGGCTATGTTGTATTAAGCTGGCTGAGAGCATAGATTTTCCCTCGTTTATGTATAGATAGACTAGAAATTTGTTGTATTTCCCTAAACCCGCGTACTTCGTTTATGGAGAATTTTGCTCTACCTCGTCGCTGGCTGTCTTGCCCTGGGATGTCTAATGATCTACTGTTGCGCACCTGATGTAGTTAGCCAAGGGAATTTACAGGGGATAGGCAATAAATAGGAGTAGGTGGCAATTGGGAATAGAAGAGTAGGTGTCGTAGGCTAGGTATGATATCAATGAGCCTTAGGAAACAACTGTACTTGGTAATCCAGCTGCATGCTTCAATAAAACCTATAGGCTATAGTACCCCGCACTTGAGATAGTAATAAATTAATATCCTACTGCTACTTACTATCGTTTACCTGACCTTTAAACCTTCCAGCATACTCAGTGCCATAGTAGGTTATATAATAGCATTCTTAACCTATGTCCACCCTGGCTTAAAATGCTTAATCCTACTACTAATATAATATAGGTTTAGTACGCATAAAAGAGCGTTGCCTTATTGCTGCTTTATCGAATCTTTTTATTTTCCCGCTTTAGGAGCCATCTTATAAACTAAGTACTAGCAATAATAGCCATAGAGAACCCCGCGCTGCTAGATATTGCGATAATATAGCGCGGTTCGTTAGAGGATGGCTAAAGGTACTATGGGTCGGTTAGCTAGATCTGAGATGGAAATAATAGAGTAGTTTGCTTACTGCGGTCTAGGTGAAGCTAATGCTGGCATATATGTTAATGATAGCGAGCACTGAGGCCTTCTTTTCCTTGGTTTCACCATAAGTGTTTCCGACCTATCCGAGTATGATCGAGTTTATACTATATGTGCTAATGGTAAAGATGCATATGGCGATATACCGGGCGGGTATGTTAAGGGTTGCATACGCTAAAATAAACCCTGTGATAGCTATAACCTTGGTAATAGTAATATGCCAAGTTCTCTTGTTGTGTTTGCCCGATGAGTAAGACTAATAGATCGAGATGGCGCCTGCGATGAGATAGGGGGGGCATGTAAGGATTAGTGTGATGGTGGTGTTAAAGCCGAGCGTTTTGATAATTGTGGGAAAGAAGTTTTTGAAGCTATTGGTAGCGAGATGTATATGCTGTAAGAACATAAAGATCTAGACCTTAGGATCCTTAAGTGCTTCCTTGAGTCCTGCCTACGTGCTGCTCTGTGGTCGTCTACCGACCGTATTAGATGCAATATGGTTATGCGTAAGTTGGCGTTCTTCTGGCGTTAGCTACCTTGTGTTTAGTGGTTTATTTGGTAGCGTGAAATATGAGATGATTGTAATTACGAAGGTGATGGTACCTTGAAGAATGAATAACTAACGCCACCTGGAAATACTAGCTATATTGTCGAGCCTATTGAATATACTAGTAGTAATGAGACCGGCGAAAGCTGTGGCGAGAATGTTGCCTGAGTATAAGATATTGATCTTGGTGGCTAGTTCTTTTCTCGTATAGAAGATGGTTAGAATCTAGAGTGCTCCTGGGTAGAAAGGCGCTTCTACTATACCTAGGAAGAATCGTAAAAGGACGAGGCTAGTATAGTCCTTGGTAATAGCTATCAAGGCACTTATGATAGCCTATGCGATCATGAAGCTACCCATATATAAGGAGGGAGGGACCCTGGTTAAGATCATGTTGCTCGGAAGCTGTCTAAGGAGGTAACTGATCATCAAGATCGAAACTGCTGTATTATATTGTGTACTATGGAGTTTAAGGTCAGCCTCTATATTATTAAGCCTTGCCACGGCGATGGCATTGCGATCTAGGTAGTTGAACCAGTATATGAACTAGAGGGTCGGCTGGTATACCCGAGTAAATTGAGGAACTTGGCGGTGACGGGGATGGTGGCTTACCATAATGTACCAATCTAACTTCTTAACAAGCTTCCTCTCTTTTTCGCTTAGGACAAGCCTGGCACCGGAGTAGTCTACCTCTTCTCCCCTCTCTTTCTCGGCCATATACTCGTAAGCTATTTCCCTCGGCTTTTTATCAGTATGATTAATCGAAGCTTGGTCTTTAGTATGGTTGATGGTCTTAGAGTCGTAAGTTGCTATGGCGAGGATGAAGTGGTAGGTTAGGATTAGATAGATGATGGTGGTTGCGTTTGCATGGTTGTGGAAAGAGCGAATGAATAACCCATCTTATATCCTCTAGCTTTTTACCCTAGATTGATATTGTCGCCTTAGATCTAATGCGGGGTCTATGGGTTTGGGTTAATCCGCGGAGATGGATGCCTTTTGGTGACGGACTTGATTGCCGAACCTGGTTTGTGGCATGACATGGAGACTGAGGCTTACCTGTTTTCTGCGTTGAGGAGATGGTTGACCTTGCTTGATATGAAAAAGTCGGAGAGTTTTTTTTTTCCTTTTTTCCCCCGCCAAATGGGCGGCTTGATCCTCGGCGCCGTAATTATTCACTACCTCGGACCGACAGACTAACCTTGAGACTACTTGTGGCGCGAGACTTTTGTTCCGTGGCGAGTAATGTGGCCTAATCCACTATTAGTTGAGATATATTCCTTATTTGGTTTATGACTTGCGGTACTTGTGGGGGCCTCTAGTACTCCGTATAATAATGTGGGGATAACTTGTGAACGGAGGCTGATACCGAAAATGGCGTTTTTCGGCGGCGGAGGCCGAGGCCGAGGCCGAGGTCGTTGGTTTCCGAGGTATGGATTAGCTTTCTTAGCTTATTTATAAATATTTAGGAGAGTGCCCTCTTAGTTTAAAAGGTGGAAGAAGACCTGGTTAAGCCGAGTAGTAAGTCGATATACCTGTGGTTTTTTCTTACCTTAGATTACTTGTATCTATGGTATATCTATGTTTCTCAGCTCCCGCGTAACCATCCCTATTATGACGTCGTAATCTCGAGTGGAGGTGATTCTCTAATAACTTTCTCTTGAAGAGAAAGTATTACTGTTATTAGCAGTAGACTGGTGGCGAATACCCACTATCCTGCGGGACGGTAAGGTCTTGGTACCTAATGTAAAGGTACGTGTCAGAATGACTCCTGGGAAGCCCTACGTCCTGACTTGTTTTGCGTTCGTTTAGTCCAGTGATGGTCCAAATGGCGCAAGAGGGGAAAGTTACGTGAGTAGCGTTAAGGCTACCTGTTTTCCTTGCTCGACATGCTTAGGCGCCTCATTCGATACCGATGTTGCCTTCCAGATAGGGCGCTACATTGCTCTTAAGGCGCTTTTAAAGTCAGCTAAGATATTGCTAGCTCCCACAGTCAATATGATCAGATCCCCGATAGGTAAGGCCTCTGGCTTTCTCTTTGCGTTAATATGATGGGGCTTATTTGCATATAGCCGGCCATAACTATGAAACATTCTCCGAAGATCCGTGGGCCTTAGGCACACTCGGCGCTACATATGTCAAAGGTAAGCCGATTCAAAGGCCAATATTATTAAGCAACCATAAATATATCATCTTTCTTTTTAGGATCCCAATCTGTCGGCGTAGCTGCTACCCCTAAGCATTTTATCGCTAATGACGTCGAGAAGCGCAGGCGATTTCTCTTAGCCGAGGTCGACGAGAGGACTCTAAGGGAAATTTACTTCTTGCCGTTTTAGCTAATTATTAAGCTAGCAGATCCCTGGTGCCTCATAACTTCATAGGTTCGACCGATTGTGTAATATATTCCTTTAAAGTGCTTATTCTCGCTAAGATATAACCGTATCAACGGGACATACTGCGCGGACGACCCTCACCTCCTTTAAGACATCCTGCGGGATGAGTGGGGCTTTGAGGGTCTAGTTATGTCAGACTAGGTAGGGATTTACTCCACGGTTGAGGGCGTCAATGCAGGTTTAGACTTGGAGATGCCTGGCCCTACTAAGATGCGGGGCCAGAAAGTTCTGGAGGCTATTTTAAGTGGCGACATCACCTAAAAAACTATTAATAAGAGTGCACGATGAGTTCTTGAGCTTTTGGAATGCCTTGGACGGTTTAAAGATCCTTCGGAATCCCCAGAAAAGGCTCTTATGGACAGTAACTATAACGAGTTCATCGCATAGTCCGCGGCTGAGGGTGCTATTCTTCTAAAGAGCGAGGGTATTGTATTGCTACTTGACAAAGACGCCAAAGTGGTTGTTATTGGTTAACACGCCGCGGTTCCCACGATTATAGGAGGCGGAAGCGTATAAGTCGATATTGCTCGAAAAGTTACTCCCCTGACTGGATTGAAAGAAGCGGGGGTAAAGTTTTAGTATGAGCCCGGGGTGCTAGTTTTCAACGCCGTTCCACTTCCGGATCTGGACATTATATTGCCTGTAGTTGAGGTCGAGGATAGGTTGAAACCGGTTTACTTAGAATGGTTTAATAGCTCTAGTATTGGCCACAATCAGGTGAAAGAAGTCTTCCTCGAGAAGACTAAGTATATGATCAAAGAGAGATGGCTAGATTACTTGGACCCGGATTATTGTACGCGGATGACCTTTAATTTGACGCCTAGAATATCCGGGCATTATATAATATCCGTGCTCACTACCGGGACTGCCACGCTATATATCGATAACGATAAGGTATTCCATCGAGAATAAGATTAACACCTCTAGCGAGAAGTATTCTACTTCTTCAGGTCTAAGTTTGAGCGACGCTTTACATAATATCTTGAAGCTGGAAGACTCTACAGGTTTAGGCTCGAATCGTGGGCCATGGAACCAGATATACTTGCGAGAACCATTAGAGGCGCTATTATCTAGGGCTTAGGTGTTCAATACTTCGAGCATGTCGATATTAATGAAAGGATCTAGAAGGCAGCATAAGCGGCTTTGAAAGTTGATATCGCTCTGGTTTTTACTGGAACTATAAGCGAAATTGAGTTAGAAGGGTACGATCGCGAAACAATAGATCTAACTTTAGACTAGTATTCGCTTATATCCGCGGTAGCCAAGGCTAATTCCCAGATAGTCGTCATTAACTATTCTGGCTCGCCGGTGGATGTTAGTCCCTTTATCGACATAATAGCTGGATTACTACAATGCTAGTTTCCCGGCTAAGAATGCGGCCACGCTATCGCCAGACTCGTGACGGGGTAAGTCAATCCTTCTAGAAGGCTTCCCATATCTTAGCCGCGAAAGTTGGAAGATAACCTGTCCTTTGCAAACTTCCCGACCGATAATAACGATATCATTAGGTACGAGGAGGGTCTGGATGTAGGTTATTGTTATTACGACAGGCCAGGCTCTCCTAAGCTATTATTCCCCTTCGGGTTCGGCTTATCCTACATATCATTCAGTTTGAGCGATGCTTCTATAACTGAAGTTCAGAATTATGCTTAAGACTATACTATAAAAGTCACTGCCAAAGTAACCAATAGCGGTAGTCGTTCGGGAAAGATTATGGTCTAATTCTATGTCTAACCCCCTACTATGGATAGCCGACGTCTACTTAAGCAGTTAAAAGCTTTTATAAAACCTTAGATCGAAGCTAGGGATAGTACTAACTTGGCTATAAGTCTCGACAAGTACGTAGTTAGCTATTATAATACTGAAAAGGCAACTTGGGTGGCAGAGGCAGGGGTCTATCAAGTGTATATCGGCTTCTCTGCCGAGTCTATTGTAGAGACTATGAGCTTTAACCTACAGAGCAGCTTTAACTGGCGCGGGGTTTAAGCTTATATTGTACTTTCGGGCTGATAGTGCTGACTATATTACTAGTATTAGTAAAATAATAACGGTATCTCTAGATCTACGATGGCCTATAGTGGACGTTTCAGGGGAAAAGGGGGGGAAGAAATTTTTAAATCCATTTATTGCAAGATATATATGTTATAGAAACATATAGGCCCAGACTTTGGGGTCGAAAAGTGCATCTTTAAGCCCGGCCCAGGTGCTACTATGTAGCTTCCCACCGACAGTATCATAGTATACTCGACCATATGCTAGTTATTGTTGTTCCGGTGTGAGCCATCGGGTAATTAGGGGCTCGCCGGGTAGCGTGAAACAAGAAATCACTGCGACGACGGAGGTTATGGTGCCTCGTAGGGTAAATAACCAGCGCCAAGCCTCAAGTCCTATAACTTTATTAAGACCGTTAAAGACTCCAGCAGCAATGAGTCCCGTAAAGGCCGTTGCAAGGATATTGCCGGAGTATAGAATACTAATCCTGGCGGCGAGCTCGTTTCTCAGGTAAAAGTTGTGAGCACATAGAGCTCTCCGATATGCAATGGGGCCTCGACAACTCTGGGGAAGAATCGAATGAGAAGTAAGCCCGTATAGTCCTTTATAAGAGCCGACAAAGCGTTAACAAGGGCCCAGGCCATCATAAAGCCTCCTACGCACACAAGTCAAGATCATGTTGCTTGGAATTTGCCCGAGGAGATACCCGACGGTTAAAATTGACACAGCCGTGTTGTATTGCACCCGACCAGGCCGAGGTTATCCTCGAGGTCGTTGAGTCTTGCCACTGCAATGGCATTTCGGTCCAAGTAGTTGAGCCAGCACATAAGCCACAGGGTCGGCTATATCAGGTCAGCTTCTTGAGGCATCACTAGAACTTTTCATGCTGACTATGTTGTACTAATCTCGTTTCTTTACTACTTTGTCCTCTTCTGGATATTTCTCAGTCCTGGCTCTAGAATAATCGACATCACCCTCCCCCTGAGCATTGGCCAGGTATTCGTTGTGTACCTCTCCTGGTTTCTCGACGTCGAAGTTCGCCTCCTTTGCAGGACGCTCGGCAGTGGTGAGAGTCTTAGTGTTGTTATCTGTCCGCATGTTGGAATGTCGATGCCTGTACATGCCCCGTAAGGAAATGGGTAGTTGGATGTTTATTTCGTTTAATGGCATAGGGGGCTGACACCTCATTTTTGCACTCCAGAATGCACAGACATACAACCCGCAACCTGGGGCCGATGTCTGGGGTTTAGAGCTTAAGACCGTATGACTAAGATGGTCCGATCTGCTGGTGGCTGGGATGTGGTACTATATAGCTGGCCTCTACTGTGCTCCTCACTGGTAGACACAACTTAGATCTTCAATAATCACCTCAAACTCCTTTTTGCTTTATCAGAAGGCGGGGTCAAGACTCCCAAAAATTATGCTCGGCGACAGCTCCGAGCACCAAATAATGGCTTGATTGCGGACGAAAGAACAGGCCTTACGATGGGAACGGCGGCCGACGCCAAAGCGGCCGAGGGAGGGACTGTCACCTAGACACGACATTCCATCCCTTTAGCCGAAAGAGAGTAACGCTAGGGCCACTTAATAATTCCAGGGTAGGGAAATCCATCACCGATCGTAGGCTCGTCGTCCACAGATTTGGTCCTATGTACTAGACGGAGCATCAGAGCCACATTCTGCCGCTTAAAAGGATAGTGTAGCTTGTTTCCAAAGTGGCAACAGTGTTCAGGCAAAATTAGAGCTTCCTCTACACATATAAAGAACAGACCTTGCGACCACTGTTGCAATTTCAAATTTATCTGGGAATACCCAAGCCTCCTATGACCGCGTGATTGGCATGCCTACATCTCCTTCTTTCCAAGTCTGTTGAAGTTCCTAACCCAGGACCTCATCGCAGCACACCATACCACGCATAGCACTAAATCTCTGTCCTATCCACAATGTCTGGTGGCATTCTCAAAGTCAGCGGCGATGACATCGTCGACGGTAATGGTGAAAGGGTCATCTTGGGTGGCGTTGGCCTCTGTGGCTGGATGAAGTAAGTATCCAGACTCAATATGCACAATTATACAGCGCTGACACTCAACAGTATGGAAAATTTCATCTCCGGCCACTCAGGTAGTGAAGTACTTCATCGTGCCGCTATGCTCTTGGTTTTCAGTAAAGAGAAATACGAGTACTTCTTTAACCGTTGGCTCTAGGATTTCTTCACGGAAAAGATGCTACATCTCTATCGTTCCTCCCACTTTCACTGAAAGTGGTTTGAACGCGTCGCCATTGGCCCATGACCCTGTGATTCCCCACAGTCTACTTTCACCAGACAGATGTCTCTCAATATGACTCCCTGATCAAACTTTCTTGTCAAAGTGGGATTCTGGCTCCTTGATTGGCTGGGCCCCTTACACCGCACCTCGCACCCTACACGCATTTTGACAACTTGGGCATGGTAACTAAAGTTCCTGTTACTGTTGTTGTGTCGCGCAGGGATGCTGAGTGCACTTGACAAAAGGTAGTTCTTATTGTCGTGATTGTAATTATTCTTGATTACCCGTTGGTCAAGGCCCCACCAGCCAACTTTCGGGTCAGGCTTCGCGCCCCTGGGGTCTTCTGAGCCCGTCTCTTCGCCCAGCCCGGGCTGCTTCCTCGGTCACCTTAGCTGCCAATTTGGCTGTGACTTTGACCGGCATCGTTGTTCAAGTTGGCCCTCATGACTCTCACGGTCTCGGTCAAGGTCTTCCAACGCTGCCTAGGCTGTGAGGCGGCGGCAGCTGTGGTGGCGGTTGCCTCGGGCAAGGCGTATCCGGGTCGATAACTTCAATGACTTCTGCTGGCGGTGATGACTTTATAAATGGGGGCAGCGAGTCGAACTGGGTGTTATCTTAATTATTAGAATCTCCTCTATCTACGAGGGTATCCTTATCTTCGTCGTCCTCGTCGTTGAAGGGACCGAGGCCGGTGAAAGTGATGGTGTTATCGCTCTTAGGGAAGTTTATCGCGAGGATCGGTCTCGGCGCCTTCGAGGCTTATTGCCTAGCTCGTCGGGGCTCTTATGATTCGGGAATATTGACTATGAAGCTATTGGGCTTTTGGTTAAGGAGCTTATTAAACTTAGAGCTATTAGTATTAATAGAAAGGTAGTTAGTTTCTCTTCTTATATCCTTTAGCTAATCCTCGAATTTCTATGCCTTACTTATTATACTAAAGCGAGTAATTTTATTAGCTTTTTAAAGCTCGAAAAAGCGGTCTTTTTCTTACTTAATGAGAGCTTTAACTAAGTGAAGTTAATGGTATTATTCTTTCTCCTCGGCGGCGGCGAGCTTAGCCTTATATTATTCCTTGATATCTTTAAAGTTAATGCTTATAATAAATATATTATTAGGTTTAATGAATTTTCCGGGCTTTCTCTTACTTATGACTTTCTTGAGATATGATTCGAAGTTACTAATGAAGGTATTATGCTGCTTATCTATTAAAATCGATTCTAAGAGTACCTTTCTCGCCGACTAAAGCTTCTCATGGCTCGGCGAGCTTATAATGTCACTATATTTATCGAGTATGCGGCGAGGGAGTCTTTAGCTTATTAGAATCGTGTTTCCTTAGGCAAGAGGTTAGTATAGGCGGGCTTGACCGGCGTATGTAATTTAAGCTACTTCTTATAGATATATATAATCGCAGGCTTAGAAGTGATAGGATAGATACTGCTTTTCTTAAAGCCTCTTATAATATAAGTAGCTAAGAAGCCTTTGTAATAAAATTTATAGAAAGTAGCGGCAAAGGTAAGTTATATAAAGGCTAGGTTGCCCTCTCTTATTGACTAATAAAGAGCTTTTTAGTATATATTTTTTAGGAATTAAAAAACGCCTATATCGAGAGGTTAAAGGATATAAGTAGAATGCGGAGGTAAGGTGCAAAATACGATATTAAATATAATATAATAGTTAATGAAATAGAAGACTATATAACCGGTGAAGCTATTAATAATTAGAAGTTAATAAATTCTCTTATTATCCGGCCGAGAATTAGGCGGCTGCTTAAATATATTATAAGGCCTTCTATGACGAGAGGATATTTCCTAAGGGATAAACCAGTCGTATTGGTTTATATTAGCACTGGATTATGTTGCGTAGCCTTAAAGGTTAGTGTGATATTATATCTGGTAATATGCTTAAAGGTATTAAGTATAACTAAGTTATATTGATAGCTAAGGTAGCTATTATATAGGAAAGTGCATATAGGTGCGTATTATATACTAAGCTGGCTATGAAGGGATTATGGTTATCTTGGGATCGTCGTGATCCTTAGATTATAGTAATCCTAAGATTATAGTAATCTAACTTTAGTAGTGATCTTTCTCTAATTAGTGCTAATGCCTAGGTATAGGGCGGTTATATATATTGTAGAGGTTAGGTATATATTAGGTCGTGATATAATGTCTCCCCTTCTAAGGCCTTATCTATAAGGCTATTTAAGTAGCTATTTCTTATTCCCTTGCCTATGGGTGTAACTTAAACCTATAATTATTTCGGGATGTCGCGCTAATAAAATATCTAGCTATATTTCTAAATATCTAAATCGAAAATCCGAAGAATATTAATTTTTGGCCGCGAGTATCGAACTATCTCGTGAGTTTATAGATATACTATGTTTATATTATTTTAAGTACCGGAAGGAGTATTTAATGACGGAGGGTTCCTTATAGTATAGTAAGTATATGCGGCGGGGTCATTCTTATGACGGAACGTAGGTCGCGAATTCTCATAAGTCCTAGATTCCTTCTTTTAGGGTGGCCTTTCTTATTAATACGTGGGATAATATATCGCTTAATCTTATAAGAGAAAAAACTAGAGGAGGACGAGGAAAAGGCTAGTACTAACTTATTATAACTTCACGAGGAGTTAATAGAGTTATAAGTAAAGATAGCATTAGCCGTAGGTCGCCTATCGCGGTTGCGGAAAACTAAGAACTTAGTTAAGGAGCGTCGGGCTACTAAGTTCCAGCGGGGGATCTAAGGTCTTAAGGGTAAGGATTATCTAGCAGAGGAGCTAAGTCGTCGCGAAGAGTCTATCTAGGAAGAGCTATAGTCTCTGAACCCTAAAGGGTTTAACTAGGCTTCTCTTAGCCTAGGTGATTTTAATTTTAACCCCTTGCCTAGCTCTAGCAGTATTAATAAAAGTTCTTTAGAAGGCATTATACGCTAATAAGGTATTCTAGGGGTTCCTATATATTTTCTAAATCTAGGTAGTTCTTTTATTTAATAAAATATATTATTTTACCGTTAATCTTACTTATATCGAGGATAGCTTCTATAATATATTCTTCTAGTCTATTGACTTTTATATTAGGTTTATTATTTATTTTTACTTAGATAATATCTTATATTAATTCAAGTAATAAAATATAAAAGATTAGGTAGAGCTTAACCTTAGGTAATAAGTCTAATTCATAGTTATATTTTAAGATTTTCTATTTAACTTTATAGGGTCTAATATATTTATAGTTAAGTTTTTTATTTTATTATTTTATTTTAATATTTTTTATTATAAGATAGATTATATCTTCCTCCGAGAAGGTTAGTCCCTTAATTTATTTCTTATTAGCATAGTTTATTATTTTATTTCTAATAAACTTAAGTTCTATTTATATTTCTTTATATAGGTTACGTAATTAATCGCTAGTAAGGATTACTTTGGGGTTAATAATAGTATCTCGTGATTATTAATAAGCGTCTAGTATAAACCTAAAGTTAGCGTAGGCTAGTATAATCTTTATGCTTTTATTTATGGCTATGTTATAGGCTAGCTAAGTAGCTAGTAGCTTTTTAACCTAGTTGGTCTATTCGTAGTTAATATAGTATCGAAGGTATTATTCTAGTATCTAGTTTATACATTCTATCTATTTATTTATCTCTTTATAATATACTATAAAGAGTTTATAGTTAATTCCTAAATATCCTATTAGGCTTTATTAAAACTTAGATACAAATAGCAGTCCTCGATTAGTAATAATTTCGAGTAGTATACTATATATCTTAGCGATATGAAAATAGAAAAGATAAGTGAATTCTTTAGCTATTATTAATTCTCTATAGGGTATAA